TAGTCTCTAATAAAACAGACTTTAAACCTACAAAGTCAAAAGAGACAAAGAAGGGCATTACGTAATGGTAAAAGGATCAATGCAAAGCTAACTATCCTAAATACATATGCACCCAATACAGAAGCACCCAGATACATAAAGCAAGTTCTTAGAGACCTACAAAGAGACGTAGACGCCCACACACTAATAGTGGGAGACTTTAACACCCCACTGTCAATATTAGGAAGATCAATGAGACAAAAATTAACAAGGATATCCAGGACTTGAACTCAGATCTGGACCAAGCAGACCTAATAGACATCTACAGAACTCTCCACCCCAAACCCACAGAATATACATTCTTCTCAGCACCACGTTGAACTTATTCTAATACTGACCACATAATTGGAAGTAAAACACTCCTCAGTAAATGCAGAAGAGCAGAAATCGTAACAGTCTCTCAGACCACAGTGCAATCAAATTGGAACTCAGGATTAAGAAACTCACTCAAAACCACACAACTACATGGCAAGTGAACAATCTGCTGCTGAATGACTACTGGATAAATAATGAAATGAAGGCAGAAATAAAAATGGTATTTGAAACCAATGAGAACAAGAAACAACATGCCAGAATCTCTGGGACACATTAAAGCGTGTGTAGAGGGAAATTTATAGCACTAAATACCCATAAGAGAAATGAGGAAAGATCTAAAATCAACACCCTAATTTCATGATTAAAAGAACTAGAGAAGCAAGATTAAACAAATTCAAAAGATAGCAGAAAACAAAAAATAATTAAGATCAGAGAGAGATAAACACACAAAAAGCCTTTAAAAAAAATCAATAAATCCAGGAGCTGGTTTTTTGACGAGATCAACAAAATAGATAGACTGCTAGCCAGACTAATAAAGAAGAAAAGAAAGAAGAATTAAAGAGATACAATAAAAAATGATAAAGAAGATATCATCACCAATCTCACAGAAATTCAAACTACCATCAGAGATTACTACAAACATCTCTATGCAAAAAACAGTAAATCTAGAAGAAATTGATAAATTCCTGGACACTTACACCCTCCCAACACTAAACCAGGAAGAAGTTGAATCTCTGAATAGATCTATAACAAGGTCTGAAATTGAGGCAGCAATTAATAGCCTACCAACCAAAGAAAGGCCAGGACCAGATGGGTTCATAGCTGAATTCTACCAGAGGTACAAAGAGGAGCTGGTATCATTCCTTCTGAAACTATTCCAAACAATACAAAAAGAGAATCCTCCCTAACTCATTTTATGAGACCATCATCATCCTGTTGCCAAAATCTGGCAGAGACACAACTAAAAAAGACAATTTCAGGCCAATATCCATGATGAACACTGATGTGAAAATCCACAATAAAATACTGGGCAACCAAATCCAACAACACATCAAAAAGCTTATCCATCATGAGCAAGTCAGCTTCATCCCTGGGATGCAAAGCTGGTTCAACGTATGCAAATCTATAAATGTAATTCATCACATAAACAGAACCAAAGATAAAAACCACATGATTTTCTCAATAGATGCAGAATGCCTTCAACAAAACTCAACAGCCCTTTATACCAAAACTCTCAATAAACTAGGTATTGTTGGAATGTATCTCAAAATAATAAGAGCTATTTATGACAAACTCACAGCCAATATCATATTAAATGGGCAAAAACTGGAAGCATTCCCTTTGAAAACAGGCACAAGACAAGGATGCCCTCTCTCACCCTCCGATTCAATATAGTATTGGAAGTTCTGGCCAGGGCAATCAGGCAAGAAAAAGAAATAAAGGGTATTCAATTAAGAAAAGGGGAAGTCAAATGGTCTCTATTTGCAGATAACATTATTGTATATTTAGAAGATCCCATCGTCTCAGTCCAAAATCTCCTTAAGCTAATAAGCAACTTGAGCAAAGTCTTATGATATAAAATCAGTGTGCAAAAATCACAAGCATTCTTATACACCAATAACAGACAGAGAGCCAAATTATGAGTGATCTCACATTCATAATTCCTATAAAGAGAATAAAATACCTAGGAATACAACTAACACGGAATATGAAGGACCTCTTCAAGGAGAACTACAAACCACTACTCAAGGAAATAAGAGAACACAAACAGATGGAAAAACATTCCATGCTGATAGAAAGAATCCATATGGTGAAAATGGCCACACTGCCCAAAGTAATTTATAGATTCAATGCTCTCCCCATCAAGCTACCATTGACTTTCTTCACAGAATTGGAAAAAATCACCTTAAACTTCATATGGAGCCAAAAAAGGAGCCTGCATAGTCAAGACAATCCTAAGGGAAAAAAAAGTTGGAGGCATTATGCTACCTGATTTCCAACTATACTACAAGGCTACAGTAATCAAAATAGCATGGTACTGGTACCAAAACAGAGATGGACCAGTGGAACAGAACAGAGGCCTCAGAAATAATGCCACAAATCTACAACGGTCTGATCTTTGACAAATCTGACAAAAACAAGCAACAGGGAAAGGATTTCCTATTTAATAAATGGTGTTGGGAAAACTGGCTAGCTATATGCAGAAAGATGCAACTGGATCCCTTCCTTATGCCTTATAAAAAATTAACTCAAGATAGATTAAATATTTAAACATAAGACCTAATACCAAAAAAACCCTAGAAGAAAACCTAGGCAATACAACTCAGGACATAGGCATGAGCAAGGACTTCATGACTAAAACACCAAAAACAATGGCAGCAAAAGCCAAAATAGACAAATGGGTTCTAATTAAACTAAGGAGCTTTGGCACAGCAAAAGAAACTACCATTAGAGTGAACTGGCAACCAACAGAAGGGGAAAAATATTTTGCAATCTAACCATCTGACAAAGGGCTAATATCCAGAATCTACAAAGAACTTAAACAAATTTATAAGAAAAAAACAACCCCACCCCAGCAAAAAGTGGGTGAAGGATATTAACAGACACTTCTTAACAGAAGACATTTATGCAGCCAACAAATATATGAAAAAATGTTCATCATTACTGGTCATTAGAGAAATGCAAATCAAAACCACATTAAGATAGCATCTCACACCCATTAGAATGGCAATCATTAAAAAATCAGGAGGCATAGATGCTGGAGAGGATGTGGAGAAATAGGAACGCTTTTACACTGTTGGTGGGAGTGTAAATTAGTTCAACCATTGTGGTAGACAGTGTGGCGATTACTCAATGATCTAGAATCAGAAATACCATTTCACCCAGCAATCCCATTACTGAGTATATACCCAAAGGATTATAAATTATTCTGTCATAAAGACACATACACACATATGTTCACTGCAGCACTGTTCACAACAGCAAAGACTTGGAACCAACCCAAATGCCCATCTATGATCAACTGGATAAAGACAATGTGGCATATATACACCATGGAATACTATGCAGCCATAAAAAAGGATTAGGTCATGTCCTTTGCAGGGACACAGATGAAACTGGAAAGCATCATTTTCAGCAAACTGACACAAGAACAGAAAACCAAACACTACATGTTCTCACTCAAGTGGGTGTTAAAAATGAACACACAGACACAGGGAGGGAAACATCACACACCAGGGACTGTTGGGGGTTGGGAAGCTAGGGGAGAGATAGCATTAGGAGAAGTACCTAATGTAGATGACGGGGTGATGGATGCAGCAAACCACCATGACATGTGTATACCTATGTAATAAACCTGCACGTTCTGCACATGTACCCCATAACTTAAAGTACAATTTTAAAAAAGCAACACTCCTTAAAATGAAATCATGTTCCTGTAACATGTAACTGCACAGTTCAAATATATCTCCTATATCTGAAGGCCCAGTTATTTGGGTGCACAGAAATCTCAATGTGCTTCACAGGTAACAGCCCATGCCTACCCACTGGGTAACCACCAGGTATCCATGGCCATTTGGATGACAACTTTCTGCTCTCATTGACTCTTGCCCTAGGCATATAAAATCAGCCTTAAGTGACCTCATAAAAATAAACAGGTTGAGAAACATGCTTTAGAATACCCAGAAATATCATCTCTTCCTCCTGCAAGTCTTGGGGCAGAATTATGGCATCTAGACTTTCTGTAAACCCAAGAGCAATGAAACAATAGCAGTTTTTTACTCATAGTCATGAGGGACACTTAGAGCCACAGATGAGAACTAGCCAGGCCCTTGGTGAAAAATAAAATCAGGCTTTTCAAAAGAAAAAACCCTAGAAGAACACATTGCACATGTTCCCTCTCATTATTGATCTAATGGACTTTATTAAATTCCCTTCAATTAAAGATGTAGGGACCTAAGCATTTTATCTAAAGTCCTCATTTTGAATCCTCAGTGCCATTTGTTTCTGGTATATTTGGTTCCTGAGTCCTTCTGTGGAGAGTTGGGGATGAAAGGTAAAGTGTTGCCATTTGAATAGAAATCAAGCATAAGAACTGATTACAGATCCAGGTGAACTGAAAATGGAATAACAGGCACTGTCCTCTAAACAGGAAGCCGCTAATTCGATTTTTGAGCTTGGCATAAATGCCTCCTAAATTGCATGTTAATACAGAACCTCACTGTATATTAATTCGATTTTTCTGAGGCAAAAAGTGTGCACTGGTTGGAGGTGTCCCTAGAGGCTTAATTGTGCTAGGCATCCTATAGCAATGTTTGTATTGAAATGTAAATAATAACACCAAGAGTCATCGTTTGTGTCTGCAGTGATTGGAAGCTGTTCATTCTAAATTATTATTTTTATATTTCTTTTGCCTTTGGCCTTGGGAATATGTCAAAAATGTCCAAAACACATTCCCAGTTCAGACAAATAAATCTATATCAATTAAACACAAATCAAGTCTGTAAGTTTAAGTTTCTGTACCAATGTGATAATTCATTAATTAAGCAACCCCAGTGACTGACCTCACTCAGACAGTCTTGAGTGAGGATGTAGGGTACATAAGCCTCAAGATTGGCATCAGATCACTGAAGGAAAAAGAGTATTACCTGCTTTTGGCAACTGCATTGTTTCAGGAAGGAAGTCAGGAAGGATCTGGAGAGCTCAACAAAGTCATTCCTAAAAGGAGACAAAGGAAAATAAATACAAAGTGGAGGAACTATTTGCTTGGTAGAAGTGGAACAGACGAAATTTATAGCATTTGAAAACAAAAACCTAACATTTCATCTTGAAACAGCAGAACTCAGTTCACCACTGGAATGAACTGAAGGGCAACCAGACAGACATTCAGAGCTCAGCTCTTGAGGAAAATATTTATATATAATCCTCCTTGAATTAGCTTTCAATCAGAGCAGTCTTCCACCCTGGATATTCTGGGATTGGAGAACAGTGGCAGCTGCCTGATTTGAATCTCCCCTACACTCTCCCCAACCCCACTTCACCCCCTAAAAAACAAAATCAACAATGAGAATAAACCCATACCTGATTTGAGTCATCAGCATAACTAGAAAACAGAACAACGTGACCTTCAAGTTATCTATAAGTAAAGGGGAATAAAATTATAATGGATTACTACAGTTCTTCTGCCATCGCAAACCTGTGAGGGCAAGCAGTGAAGGGGGAGAGGTTTAAGAGATATCATGAAAAAGAATAGAGAGGAGTAAATAACTTGGATAACATCTAGAAAGAAGCACCCCACAGAGTGCCAGTCTAACATCAAATGCCAAAATATTGAATATAGGCTGGGACTTGATAGTTTACGGCATGAATTATAAGAAAGGGGCTTGAAAATGTGTGAAACCCAAAGAAGGAAACAACAGACACCGGGGTCTACTTGAAGAGAAGCTGGGAGACTCAGAGGAGGGAGAGGAGCAGAAAAGATAACTATTGGGTACTGGGCTTAATACCTGGGTGATTAAATAACATGTACAATAAACCCCAGTGACACGTGTTTAACTATGTAAAAAAAACCTTCATATGTAAGCCTAAAATGAAAGTTGAAAAATAAATGTGTGAAACCAGATGAGGCAGCCCCAGGAAAGTTACTTTGTGGAGAGTATCGGGTACAAAAATAAAAGGGTAGTGTTAGTTGAATACAAGGCAGTAAGAAGTAGGTAAGGAAATAAAAGGGAAAAATTAAGGATACTACAGAAACAAAAGAGAAATAAGACATGCCAATCCTTCCCCACCAGACTGCCACTGATGACACCATTTTCCACAAAAGAAACTGCGTAGAAGAAGGCATAATTGACATAAGATGTAAAAGAATGCTCTCAAACTCGGAACTCTGTTCATGAAATGAATTGGCATAGATAGAAAGCAAACCACAACTACACAAAACTGCTATTAAAAAGTCATAAAACACAAGTCAAAGAATTACAGTTTAGAAAACTTTCTCCAAAAACCAACCATAAAACCAAAGAAATCGGTAACACAAAACTTTAAGCTGTATTAAATATACTCCAAAAAGTATTTGGGGATATGGAAAACACCCTCTGATTCAGACGCACAAAAATTAAGAGCAGATACAAACCTAAAAAGAGAGATATGGGGGAAATTAGAGTTAATTAAACTAAGAATGGAATAGAAGAAAAAGATCAAACCATATTAGAAAAAATAATGATATCAGAATCTGCCCCCACCCCCGCCACCATAGGTATTAGGAGGAACCTCTCTATGGTCTCCATTCTTTTCATTGTTACCCCTCTTCCCTCAAGTTTCCATCTCCTTCCTTCTCTGCCCTCTGTCTTTACAAAAGTCCCATAACACTTTACTGTTACAGCCGTTCATGAAATTGCTAAGTGTCCTCAACACTGGAGCTTCCTTATCATCAGAGTGGAACACCTACAAAATAAATGAGCTGCTGAGAACATAATTTTTTAGTATTCTTATGCTTAAAAAAACTCATCCAAAGACTGTCAGTTTCATTTCTCCCCCTACCCCTACCACCAACCAGGATTTTCAAAGGTTGGTATCTCATAGGAGAAAAAGTAGTATTTCTTCTTCACCCATCACAAGGTTCATTGCTGACATCCCTGTAAGAAAGACAGATTAACAAGAAAAAGGATAACAAATTTGCTTAATGAAAGTTTTAAGTGACAAGGAACCAAAGTCCCAGGAAAAACTGTGTATTTTAATGGACAGTTGTGCAAAAGTATGATTGGAGAATAAAAGGAAACTTAAAAGGAATCTAATAGTAACAAACTACAGGGAACTTAGCAAGGCCAGTTTGTTCAGATTCTTCTTGGAGTCTCTGTGTGACATTTCTTTCCTCTGGGTATGGTAAAGACACCTGTTACATGAAGGTTTTCAGGGGAGAAAGATAGGAGAATATCATAGAGTGACCTCGTGTTTCTGCAGTTTTCTCCATTCCCTTCAGTTTAAAACACTCAGGAAGCTGAGGTGCCACACTTTGGGGTATCATATTCTGAGCTCCAACAGAATTCTTTTTTTAACTTTTTAAAAAAAATAATTTCAACTTTTTTTTAAGTATACATGTACAGGTTTATTACATGCATATATTGCATGATGCTGAGGTTTGGGGTAAAAATGATTTTGTCTCCCAAGTAGTGAGCATAGCACCCAGTAGATGGTTTTTCAGCCCTCATCTTCCTCCCTCCCTCCCTCTCTCATCTAGAAGTCTCTAGTGTATATTGTTTCCATCTTTATGTCTATGTGTATTCAGTGTTTAGCTCCCATTCATAAGTGAGAAAATGTGGTATTTGGTTTTCTGCTCTTGCATTAATTCACTCAGGATAATGTCCTCCAGTTCCACCCATGTTGCTGCAAAGAAAAGGATTCTGTTCTCTTCTGTGGCTGCATAGTATTTTATAGTGTGTATGTACCAAATTTCCTTATGTAATTCATTGTTGATAAGCAACTAGATTGATTCCATGTCTTTTTGGGGATATGGAAAACACCCTGATTCAGAAACACAAAAATTAAGAGCAGATACGAACCTAAAAAGAGGGGTATGGGGGAAATGAGAGTTGATTATACTAAGAATGAAACAGAAGAAAAAGATCAGACCATATCAGGAAAAAAAAAATTGTAACAGAATCTGCCCCCTCCGTGGGTATTAGGAAGAACGTCTCTATGGTCTCCATTCTTTTCGTTCTTACCCATTCCCCCACGTTTCCAACTCCTTCCTTCTCCGACCTCTGTGCCACTATTGTGAACAGTGCTACAGTGAACATATAAGTGCACGTGTATTTTTGATAGAATGAATTATTTTCCTTTGGGCAGATCCCCAATAGTGAGACTGCACAGGTAGAAGGATAGAATGGCTGATGGAGGTACCTGAGAGATGGGCCTTAGTTCCCTCTGATCTGTTCCCAGGGGGATCCAGAAGTTATCATGTGGCCCTGGAGTTGCATACTAGTGCACAGTATGAACAGCTGTTCTGTTTAAGTTCTTTGAGAAATCTTCAAACTGCTTTCCACAGTGGCTGAACTGGTTTGCATTCCCACCAACATTCTCTTTTCTCCACAGCCTTACCAGCATCTGTTTTTTGTAATAGTCCTTCTGGCTGGTGTGAGGTATTATCTTATTGTGGTTTTGATTTGCATTTCTTTGATGATTAGTGATGTTGAGCATTTTTTCATATGTCTGTTGGCTGCTTATATGTCTTCTTTTGAGAAATGTCTGTTTGTGTCTTTTTTCAATGGAGATGTTTGGTTTTTCCTTGTTGATTTACATTCCTAGTAGATTCTGGATATTAGACCTTTGTCAGATGCATAGTTTGTGAATATTTTTCCCAACATTATTCTTTATCATCCTTCAATTCTTTAGTACAGCACAGCTATTCACATAAATGAAGCCTGTTAAACAGAAAATCTCCTGGATAAGTGTGCAGAAATATTGACTGGTTTAACATAGACTTCTAGGTCTCTATCATATGATCCAACACTCCATATTCAGGTGAGCCTGCAAGGAGATTGTTTAAGAAGCACTGTGTAAAACACACATACCCAAGGCCCAAGATTTGTGATAGCTGAAACTCAACAATTGGAGATCATTTTATGTTGATCACTGTTATTATTTCATCTGAAGCTCTAGAAAAGAATATTCAAATAGAACTCCCTCAGCAAACATTTACTCTGAGATATCCAGCTCTTTCCTTAGCATGTTTGTGAGCTCTGTTATTCCTCTAAGCTCCATCTGGGCCTTTCTCCCACTACAATTGAAGACTGATGTCTTGCTCACTGGGTTGACCCCACTTTGGCTCTCACTGCAACTACTGGACCTCCGAGGCTTCTGCAGCTGTTGAGGTTGCTGGTGTGGGTACCCTGCTCTTCCCTTTGCTTCAGCACCTCTTCATGGATGCTAGCCAAACACACAATTTTATCTTATGGAGAAACTGGAGGGTACTATATGAAAGGTGACTTGCATCTGAACTTTGCCTCCCTTCTTCTCTCTCTCCTCTTCTACTAGAAGGTCCTCCAATTCTACCAGAAGGTCTTCTAATTTCCTCTTACCTCTAAGAAGGGACACTCCGCGTGTTATATTATAGCCTTCTCCCCTCTCAACCTCTTAGTCTAGTCCTGTTACAGAAAACATTAGGGGAAAAGAAACAGAATTCATAAGAGGTAAAATGCAACAGGAATTACTTTGAAAATATTACCATCTTTGTCACACACATTAAAAAGCAGTCTAAATGGCTTGTGTTAAATATTTAAGTACTCAATGTGTTAACAGAAGTTCAGATGAGTTAAAGAGAAGAGCACTCTTCCAAGTTTAGATAGTTTAAGAAGGATTCATGAAGACTGTAGATTCAAGCTGGGTTTGGAAATTTTCATATTCCTCATTCATGCAGAAAAAAAAAGAGCTAGCATTCTAGGAAAGGAAAACAAGGTGAGCAACAGCATAGCAGGTGGGAGGTGTCACGGCCCACAGCTTGGATGGAACAAAGAGGTTGTTTAGGGGAAGACTGCAAGACAAGGTGAGGGCATCAATGGCCCGATTATGATGATCTTTGAATGCTAGACTAGGCACTATCACAAGCGTTATCTTTTTCATCTTCACAAAAACCATGAGAGGCAGGCAATTCCTGTATCCTCATTTTAAAGATGAGGACTCAGAAGCTCCAAGAAATTAAGTGACTTAAGAGCAAACAGCCAGTTAGTTGCAAAACTCTGTCATTAAGTCTTAATCTTCACACAGATAAAATAAACTCATACTGGATTGCCAATACTTTTATATGGCATGATGCCTTGATGTGAAAAGGTTGGTGGTAACGTATCAGAGTTATTTTTGACCTTACCAACATATACATGCACACATGCACACATACACACATATGTGGACACACATATAGTTACTTTGAGGTCAGCATATACTCTGTGCTGTTTGAACTTCCATACGTGTGTTGTAAGCATGATAAATGCAATTTTACTGAATGCTGAAGGCAACCTGAATTTTCTTCTTGACATCTCGATGCTTTTGATTGGATGTCGTTTACGAAGCAAAGGCCCTTCCATATGCCACAGGCTGTGAAAACATGGCTACACAAGGTGTAATAATGTAACATTGCTGTTACAAGCTCCATTCAATTTACTTTGAAATGTCATTAAAAATTTCTTCCGTCAGAGTGCAGGCATTGGATAAGAGACAGCACTAGGAGTGCTGCTGGAGTTGATGGGTGAT